CCTAGCTTTTAGGTTAATTTACATTTGTATGAATATGTTTTGTGGCCATCAATAGTAAACAATAGGAAACCATCATAAGAAACTTTTTTCTACCTTCGGTCGATAAGTGTAAAAATATGATCAATTTTGATAATTGGATCTTATGAAAATAATGTGTTTGACTAGTTTTCCGATTTCAGGTGAATAGCTAGTTTGAAACAGACATGAACAATTTTAGGCAGAGATAATGTAAAGGTTGGAGTGTCACACTTTGTGAAAATTGCATGTCCCCTTGCTCTCCTCCCCATGTTTTTCTTTGACTCTTTTATCACTTTATAATTACAACGGACAAATTTGATAAAAAATAGATGTTTTATAGACCTTTTTCTTCAGAATAAGCATCTTGTAGAATTGCAATGGCAATTTTAATATAAACTGTATACTATTTAAAATTAATAAAAAATGGAAAATGACTATCACATTGCAATGGAAAATGATAGATTCTGAAAATTTGTGATGTATTTTTGTGATACGTATTTCATTAGAGGGAACAATAATGACAAAAACAGTGAAAAAAAAATAGCTAATTAATTAACATGGTAGATCATCAAACGATGTCGTCATATTTTAATGATAAATTAGTTAGAAGAAAATATTTGAAGGTAGTTTTCGAAGCCTATGTACATTTTATTTGATACACACCATTGTAGTAGACTCTTTCACATTAAATTCAAAATTCGCAATAAGTGATTGCAAGAAAACATGATTAATCTCCACTAAATCCGTTTACCTACGTTAGTATTTTCCCTTTATACATACATAAACATTACATAACACGTCAAAACTTACGTCAGAACCTATGAACGATCAATTTCGATCTAAACAAACATGAAGTGAACTAAATTATTAATTTCATAAAGACACTTTAATGCATGATACTTGTTTTTTTTTTTGATCGAAATTCATGATACTTCTCCACTTCTTTATTTAAACAATAATATATCTCCTTTTTGGGGCTATGTGTCATCGACGCCCACCATCATTATAAATCATCTCATATTGCCTGCTTTGTCATTCTAAGTTGTAACCATTTTCACTTGTAATAATAAACTTATCTATTTGCTAGAGCAAAACACACACAAAAGAAAAACCAAAAAGATATCGTCATTATCATCAATGGCGGAGAATAAGGTAAATCTGTCGATTAATGGACAATCAAAAGTGCCTCCAGGTTTCAGATTCCATCCCACCGAAGAAGAACTACTCCATTACTATTTGCGTAAAAAAGTTAACTCTCAAAGGATCGATCTTGATGTCATTCGTGAAGTCGATCTCAACAAGCTTGAGCCTTGGGATATTCAAGGTTCTTCTAACAAGAAACCCTAATAAGAAATACTCTTTTTAATTTTTGTCAAGTCTCTATTTCTTTCTTCTATATTATTAAATTAATAATTTTGGTGAGCAAATGCAGAGGAATGTAGAATCGGTTCGACACCGCAAAATGATTGGTACTTCTTCAGCCACAAGGACAAGAAGTATCCCACTGGAACCAGGACAAACCGGGCAACAGTTGCCGGATTCTGGAAAGCTACCGGACGTGACAAGATAATTTACAGTTGTGTTCGGAGGATCGGTCTGAGAAAGACACTCGTGTTCTACAAAGGAAGAGCTCCTCACGGTCAGAAATCCGATTGGATCATGCATGAGTATCGCCTTGACGATACTCCAGCAACTAATGTAAGTAGATATGATTAATATTCACTTTAGTTTGCAAAAATTAGATTCCAAAGACAAAGATGAGAAACATTATAAATTTTTGAAACAAAAGAAACCTTATAAATTTTTTGGTTCATTATTCCGCTGCATAATATCTGTTACATCCATTTCGATATGTTCTTTAATATGCAATGTTACTTTCAAGTGTTGAAGAAATAACATCTACCAATGGTTGCATTTCCGAAAGAAAATAAACTTAAGTTACATTTACGTCGTATTTGTGTTATTACCTCTCTTATTCACTTTTATAAGATCAATTAGTTCCATTATCAGGGTTCTTCGGATGTTGTTAGTGAAGATCCAATGAGCTATAACGAAGAAGGTTGGGTGGTATGTCGAGTGTTCAGGAAGAAGAACTATCAAAAGATCGACGATTGTCCTAAAATCACTCTATCTTCTTCACCTCAAGACACGGAGGAAGACAGGAAGACCACTTTTCACAACACTCAAAACGACACCGTTATAGATCATATTATTCTCAACATGGACCGTACTAGTTTTAATATTTGCAAGCCCGAAAGCCAAACATTAACAATGATCAGCACTCAACATCAAGACGATCTCTTATTCATGCAACTCCCACGTCTAGAAGAGATACCACCCAAGTCCGAGAACCCGATCAGCCAAACGTTAATGACTCCAACTCGGCTCGATATCTCTCCGGTTCAAGAGAAGGGAACAGGCATACCGGTTTGCAATAACTGGGCTAGCCTTGACCGTCTAGTGGCGTGGCAATTGAACAATGGTCATCATAGAATGGTTGACACGTGTGATCGTCCGAGTATTGATGAAGAAGAAGAAAATTGTGATACAATGATGCAGCTATGGGAACGTGATAATTGGAATCATGATGGTAATGTCGACCTTTGGAGTAGTTTCACTGCGTCTACATCGTCTCCTTCGTCTCTAGACCCTATTGTTCATTTATCAGTATGATTATATATGCACATATACATAAACATACACATAATAACAAAACATATATTACTTTCATATAAGAAACAAATAAAGTTTAAGTTTCAAAAAAGAAAAAAAAAGTTTTGTTATTAAACGTCTCATGTACTTTGACATCCCGTATAGATTATAGGGTTTACCATTTGATGTTGTAGAAACTAAACTATCATATATTGTTACCAGAAAGTTTACCAAATTAAAGAATTTTTTTTTTGTTTTGATCGAAATACCAAATTAAAGAATAAATGACAAAGAATATTGATAAAGTATCATTGCCATTTTGACGATGACCTTGCATCACAAATGAAGTGATATGTATTTTGACTTAGATCAAAGTAAGTGTAGCAAATAATGACAGCGTGATAAGATTCTTGCTTCGTTATAATGAATTGAACTTTTGGTGCGACTGTACGTGTTATCTCTTTTTGTTTTCGTTGGAGAATCCTTATGTCTTACCTCGTACAATATAACAATACTATAAATTATAATCCACTGGGCACTGACCACTTATCTAATTATATAATCGTTCCTCGTTTCTTATTTTTGCTTTATAAACGAAACCAACCCATTTCTATTATGGTAACAGAAATCTTGTATCCTTCCAAAACATTAACTAGTATAATGTTTTTTTTTTTGATAAATAATAAAATAGTTTATTTTATTTTTTTTGTCGTTAAAATAAAATAGTTTAATTAAGACGCTCAAAATAGTGATTGCATTAAAATAAATATTTTATCATTGATTAATATAACTTTTGAATGTTTACACTTTTTTTTTAATTAGCACTCAATATCGGATCATCAATTTTAAAGGCCGAAACACGCGTGAGGGCATGATTATAGGTGGGTAATTGGGGGTTATTAGGGGGTTTTTTAAAATATAAAATTATTAAAACACACACTCTCTCTTCCTTTTACTCAATTTTATACCTTCTCTTTCATCTTTTTACTCAATTTTTATTAATTTTATATTTAAACACACHYMWAWWYYCTYTCYMWWAKKTYYT